TCGGAACTTGGCACTATGGTGGAGCTTGAGTTGCAGAAAATTGAAGAGCTAGCTCGATTGGTTCTGCATGTTCTTTGCATTGGCTCAATGTGATTTTGAGCAATGAAATCTGTTGTGTTTTTGGAAAAGCACTTGTGTTTTGTACAGTAGATAGCATTCAGTTTTGACTGAATGGTTGGATACCTGGGTTATGGTATTAGTTTTTGATTCCGTGGTAGCGAACGTACCTCTTGATAAAACAGAGTAGTTGCAGATCTCTCAGGTGAGCTCGAGCGCAGGAGGAGAGATAGAGCCACAATGGGCATTCAAGGACTATGGGTGCAGGTACTATGCTAAGTATTGCATAGTTGGTTACTTGTACAAATCTGTTGAAGTTGCTTTGGCAGAGAAAGCTACTGTCAACCGTCAATCTGGTAGTACAAGTGAAAGATGCGCAGATAACGCATATCGCTAAACTAGAGATCAGGGATTGCAGAAGGCATGAACAACAAGTATGTGGAAATGCTGGGAAGTTGTTCAAGAGTACAAAGGGCAAATGCTGATAAGTTCAAGATAGTTTAGAGGAAACTCCGAGCAAAGAAAACCAGGAACGTTGACCAAACAAATGAAGAGTTTTCTGTTGCTCCAGTTTTGGCCGTGCAAGGAGATACATGGCAGGATAGTGGCATTTCAGGGAAGAGCTGTAGTGTCACAGAGCACTTAAAGGAGTGCAAGGCATCCCAATCAGTGGGTGCAGGACATCCAATCAGGGGGTGTCGGATATCTTGGTTACGCAAGTTCAAGAACAGCAAGTGAAGACATCCGAGACAGGAAGCGTGGAAAAGATCTGTGGGAGGTAGGAGCAGAGGCTCTCTCAAAATCAGAGAGTGGTATGAGTTGAGTTAAGGATGTAGGATTCCCTCCTCCTCTTGTATCCCTAGTGTATTTTATCTAGCATCAGAGAATGCAGCGTTTCAGTGTGGAGATGAAGATTCTGTTGGTTTTTTGGGCGTGACCGAGCGTGACAAGATTAGCTACAGTGTGTGCAGTAGATCACCTCACATGGGTTGAGAGGGTGATTTGTTGGATATATTCATCACCCCATATGAGGGGTGATCCATTGGAGAACCCACTAGAGAAAGTAGAGGTGGCACTTTGGAGAGAGTAGGGGTGGCTCACCAACTCCAACCCACTAGAGAGTGGAAGGAGGTAGGTGGCAACCAATGAGGTTCTCCCTCATTTGTATATAAATGGGAGAGGTGTTGGATAGGCAAGATGGTGAGTAAACCAACCAAGACAGTGAGAGATGTGAGGTAGACAAACCGTCTCCCTCGGTGTGAGCGAGGGAGATGGGTGAATGGGTGAGTGAGGATAGTGTGAGCTTCTCCTCTATTGTAATCTTTTTGTAATCTCTCTATTGTTATAGTAATAAACGGTTACTCTCTCGTGGACGTAGACATTATTTCCGAACCACGTTAATTACGGTGTCTTCTTAAGTGTGGGTGTGTGTTTCTGCTTAATATGATTTCTATAAGGACTTGGGCGGGATCCCCAATCCCCAACATGGGTGGTAGACCTGGTGCTTCAACTTACATTGTCGGCATGCAGGATGAAGAGGCTTTCTACCTTGATCCACATGAAGTTCAGCCAGTACAGTGCAATATTGCTTTTCCACATTGACTCATATATGTAGTAATAAAATGTTTATCAGAATCTCGATCTAAATCACACTAGAATCTTAGATTTAGTAGGATCTTAAAGTGATTACGGTCCTATTCATAAAATCTTTACATACAATTCCAATTCTATTACGATTCTGATCCTTTAATTTTTTTTGTAATTATTTATTTGTTATATATATATATATATATATATATATATGTATATCTATATAAAAAAATTGACTACAAACTCATTTTTCAATCGTCTCTTCCAATTTATATTAACATAGAAAGTGCATTATATCAAATTTATCATTTTTCTTTATTCTTTTTAAACTTGTGCAACATAAATTATCATTACCCATAATTTTTCATTTTATTTTGCATTAAAAGTAGAATCTTACGATTCTTGATCCGATTCTACAATCCGATCCACGAATCCCTCCCAACAATCCCACTTAGGATCCCGATTTTAACAATCTTATTTGTACTTACCTAGGCTGGCAATCTGCTTGTTGTCAACTTGAATACGGTCTACACGCTTCACCTTTTCTTTTCTTTTCTTTTCTTTTTTGCGAACATCCTACAAGCTTTATTTGTAATAAATAAAAATAAAAAATTAAAAAATTAAAAAAAAAATAAAAGGTCATAATTTCATGGGTGAAATGAGACAAAACCTTAGTTTAGATCGATGTTCACAGTATGAGTTGTTTTAAGAATATTGATTTGACAAAGTCCTTTTTCACTATAAATGGTAGGCAACCTTTGAAGTGCCACTATTAGAAACCATGTTCATGCCCCTGTATGGAAGGTTGTGTTGGGTTTGTTTTGCAACTTTATGTTTTATATCAAGCCTATACACTTAGCCTTGACAATGTATACTAAAATGAAAAGTATTAAATGCTAAATGCCTAGGTGGTTTTTAATGGCAGTCCCAACAAAATGTACGTCATTGTTTTCCTCTGTTTTGATTTACTTTCCTTAGTTTTATTTTCTCATTGTTGTCCAGTAATGATCTTTAATTACCTGGAACGAAGAAATATGTTGTTGCTAATAAGAAAATGGCATAACTATGTTGTTGCCTTTTTTCTTTATGACGTGTGAGTATTCATAATGTATACCCCATTTTCTCCTTGGCTGGTCGCATAATCAGGTAGTTGATATCTGGAGGGATAATCTAGAGGCCGATACTTCATCTTATCACTGCAAGTAAGCTTTGAGACATAGTGATTGCTTTATTATCATCCTCCGTTTACTTTATTCTTCTTCCATTTATTTGTGCTGCCTTTTGTTTTTCCTTTACTTGTTTTGATAATGATTCCAAGGTTGTGCAGCACATACCACTTGACTCCATTGATTCATCCTTGGCAATTGGGTTTTATTGCAGAGACAAAGGTATGCATGCCGGCTGGCTGTTCTTCATTAAATTCCATACATTCATTTATTATTGCTCGAGTATTGAAGCTCTTTTTGGCCATGACATTCTTTCTTTCTTTCTTTCTTTTTTTCTTTTTTTTTTTTTGGTTTGGCAGATGATTTTGATGATTTTTGTAACCATGCTTCCAAGCTAGTCGATCAATCAAAGGGTGCTCCATTACTTACTGTTACTCATACCCGCAATCCGCCAAGGGCAGCCGAGCACTATGACATGCTGACTGATACTGGTCGGAATCAACAGGACGAGTCTTTTGACATTGTGCACGATTTTCTCAACTTTTTTAGTCCAAAAAGACAAAAAGTGCACTTTTTTAGGACACCCCAAACCAGCCCTTATTATTGCTCGAGTATTGAAGCACTTTTTGGCCATGGCATTCTTTCTTTCTTTCTTTCTTTCTTTCTTTTTTTTTTTTGGTTTGGCAGATGATTTTGATGATTTTTGTAACCATGCTTCCAAGCTAGTCGATGAATCAAAGGGTGCTCCATTATTTACTGTTACTCATACCCGCAATCCGCCAAGGGCAGCCGAGCACTATGACATGCTGACTGATACTGGTCGGAATCAACAGGACGAGTCTTTTGACATTGTGCACGATAATAATGCAGCGGGCGGAACACAAGAAGACGACTGTGATTGGCAACTCATTTGACTGAGATGGTTTATATTCTGCGTCTAAAACTAAAAGTTGCAATTTTGGGTTGGAAACTAGCACTCAATGCACTCTCAACCTGTATACAACCCTACAGCGCCTCTCTCATTGGCAGAACCATAACCTCAATTGGGTACAACTTTGATTGTTATTTTATCCAAATTGTTGGATTATTAAATGTGTAGAATAAATTATTCAACTTATTCATATGATTTACCAGATACAGATGTTGTAATGTAAAAATGCAGCTATTTAACTTCTTGTCTCACAATTCTATACCATTTGAGTGCCAATTATTTGACTGAAAGTTTTATACCATTATATGAGTTTTGTGGCAATTTTTTTCATAAATGGGTACTAGGATAGTGCCCGATTATTTAATTGAAAGTTTTATACCATTAAATGGGAACTAGGATGTTGTAGTATGCCAGTTCTGGGGCTTGGTTCGAGTTATAGAAGTTGAAGTGAGTGCTTTCATCAGATTTTCAACTACCCAATACTGAATAAATCTAGGAATTGATCTATTGAAGTTTTTATTGTTTAAAATTGGCATTGCAAAGGTAGATTTTCATTACTGAAACAGTAGATTAATGTTTGGATTTTTCCACTTATTAGATTCTTGTATTTTATTTTAATAATGTCAAGTGAGGAAAAAAGAGAAATGGAGAGAAGGAATTCACTCCAAAAAAAAGAGAGAAGGATACATTTTGATCAATACTTGGGAGGTAAGATTTAAAAATGGTTTTGGGGATTCAACTTTTCAGACACAAACAAATTGGAAAAAAATTATTTCCTAAAAATCATGGCCTAATTATAGATCACTACATAAACACCCATATAGTGAAATCATACAAGACAATTTAAAAAAAATACTCTGATACAAACCCATTACCAGAATACAAAAGTGCTCCCACCTAATCAAGTAGATCCCACAGCCCTCCTCATATAAATGAAAGCAGACAAATTAAATAAAATTTACAAATATTCAACCACAATTTATTTGGTGCACTTGTTATAAATTAAAAGTAAAAATAAGAAAATAAAAGTTAAAATTACCACTCATCCAACTTTTAAATAATTAATTGTTTTGATTTATTTAGACTATTTTTACTTAATAAATTATAAACTCAACATGCAATAAACAATTTGACACAAAATTTTAAAGTAAACAAATTATAAATAACTCAAATAAAATGAACCAAACAACACCATGTATTGCTAAAAGAAATGTTTGTCCCCCCTTTTTTTTTATTTATTTATACATATATACATATATGGTGCTTACAAGAAACTCTATAATCTTATATTTTCAAAATACTATTATAAGGATATCAAAATTGACATTATATTTATTTATTTATTATCAAACTAGCATTGATCTAAAGTAATACACAAATTAAACAAAATTGTCATGCTATATTTTATCATTTTTAATTAAATTATTTATGCGTAAGTCTACATATGTATAAATAAAAAATATTATTTAAGAAGTCAATATCTGCTCCGACATCGAGTGGAGAAGCATGTCCCATTCCTCTTCCTTCACGGGTGTTTTGTTTCTTTCTCGTCCGGATTTCATCAAATTGATTTTATAGACCGACAATGCAATTTTCTCATCATATTTTATTTTATGTTTTTTTTATTATAATTTTACTTTAATTTAAAATTATCAAACAAAATAAAAAAAAAATTAAAAAAAAAAACTTCAAACTTAAAGATAGACCAGAGTTTAAACCCAAAGATAGACAAGAGTTTAACTAATATAAACATGTTTTATTAATATAAACAGAGTTATAAACACTGAAATAAACATAAACCTAGACAAGAAATTAAACAAAACTTCAATAAAATTGACAATTCTTCAATGAGATTTTTTGATTGAAACCTTAAATTAAACATGTTTCAATGAGATTTTTCTATAACCAAAAAAAAAAAGAAAAAAAAAAGATGGAAAGCTTGACAACCTGAGTCAAAAAATAGATGCTATAGACGGAAAGCATAACAACCTTAATTGGAAACTTGATGTAGTCATACCACCAACAATACCACGGCACTCTCCACCATCAACCGTCATTCCGCCACCGCCACCACTATCGAACTCTGGAATGGTGGAAATGATGGTTTATTGGACTCTGAAAATGGAAGAAATGGTGGTTTTACAAACGGTGGTGGAGATTTGGGTGAGTGAATCATTATTTTTTATTTGAAACAGAATCAGTTTATTTTGAATTTTCAGTCAAAAAATCTCATTGAAGAATTGTTTTGTTTAAACTCTTGTCTAGATTTATGTTTATTTCAGTGTTTACAACTCTGTTTATATTAATGAAACATGTTTAACGACAAGAGTTTAACTAATATAAACATATTTTATTAATATAAACAGAGTTGTAAACACTGAAATAAACATAAACCTAGACAAGAGTTTAAAAAAAAACTTAAATTAAATTGACAATTCTTCAATGAGATTTTTTGATTGAAAACTTAAATTAAACATGTTTCAATGAAATTTTTCTGTAACAAAAAAAAAAAAATGGAAAACTTGACAACCTGAGTCAAAAATGGATGCTATAGACGGAAAGCTTGACAATCTTAGTGGGAAGCTTGATGCAGTCATACCACTAGCAATACCACGACACTCTCCATCATCAGTTGTCATTCCGCCACTGCCGCTACTATCAGACTCTGGAAATGGTGGCTTATTGGACTCTGAAAATGATAGAAATTGTGATTTTACAAACGGCGGTGGAGATTTGAATGAGTGAATCGTTATCTTTGATTTGAAACTATATCAGTTTCTTAAGTTTTCAGTCAAAAAATCCCATTGAAGAATTGTTTTGTTTAAACTCGTCTAGGTTTATGTTTATTTCAGTGATTACAACTCTGTTTATATTAATTCTTCAATGAAATTTTTTAACTGAAAATTTAAAATAAACTGATACTGCTTCAAATCAAAGATAATGATTCACTCACCCAAATCTCCACCGCCATTTATAAAACCACCATTTCTACCATTTTCAGAGTCCAATAAACCACCATTTCCAGAATCCAACAGTGGTGGCGACGGTCGAATGACAACTGATAATGGAGAGTGCCGTGGTGTTGCTAGTGGTATGACTGCATCAAGCTTCCCACTAAGGTTGTCAAGCTTTCCGTCTATAGCATCCATTTTTTGACTCAAGTTGTCAAGCTTTCCACCTTTTTTCTTTTTTCTTTTTTTTTGTTACAGAAAAATCCTCTCACTCTCCCGCAGATCCAAGGCAACACCCCTTGCAAAGATTACTAAGATGTCCTATTGTTCGTTCCATCTTTCAAAAGTTATGATTATACAATTTGAAGAGTCTAGTCACCCTCCTTTCTGTTACAAGAGACTCTTAAAGAGGATAAATGATATAAATAGAAAGTTTGACAACCTGACTAAAAAAATAGATATTAGGGAAAAGTTCGCATCACTAAAACAATGGATGCCATCCATGACATCTATTTTTTTAGTCAAGTCGTCAAACTTTCCATCTATTACATCTATTTTTCCGTTAGATGTCAAACTTTTCATCTATCTTCTTATCCATGACTTTAGTATATGATAGAATTATTGTAACAACTCTCATCTATACCTTGGCACTTATGCCAGTCATGAATTTAATGACTTCTACCAATGCCTCTTTAGGAAACTTCCCGGCAACAGAAAAGAGGGTGACTAGACTCTTCAAAGTCATGTTCCCAATGCCCTAAATAATCATAACCTTTTATAGGGATTCCATTGAAGACCCAATAGAACACACCTTGCTTCTTCTTTCAACAAGCTCCTCTTCATCCATCTCCTTCTCCCAACCATCTCCTCTTCATCATTCTTCCCCTTCTCATCTTTCTCCTTAACATGAAGCTCATCCTTTTTCTTCCTGTCAATCTCCTTCTCATCATTCTCCTCATCAAGTTTCAGCTCATCATTTTTCAAGGTTTTTATTAAGAAACTTATATTGCTCTCCATGCATAATTTTTTTTTAACTTCATCTTCATCTTCTGTCTATCGAAATAATCACATTCTTCATATGAAAAATCAAAAAAAAAAAAAAAAAGTTAGAAAAAATTCACATAAATCGAAAGGAAATGAATAATAATCAAACCCCTATGCTTTTTGCAGCATTCAAAGCTCTTCCAAAATGGTGCTTAATGATGGAAAATATGACAGCAACGAGAGAAGCTCTCTTAGCCATTACAACTGAGAGAGTGTGATGAAAAGACTAGAGTGAGAGACAAGAAATGATGGGACAAGCTTATATGATGGGTTTAATAATGGGTTTTATAACATGTGTGAAAAAGAAAAATGTAAATACACTCTGGTGAGATTGAATAAATAATATATATTATTTGTTATTATCAACTAACATGTGGATAGACAAATAAAAGGAGTATTTGAAATTGAAGAGCTAATAGAAAGAGAAATTTTCAGAAATTTTTTTTTTTTTTTTTGGAAGTGTATAAAATAATATGTATGAGAAACCCCTATCAAAGCTATAAATTGAAACATGTCATATTTGAAAAGATTGGGCATGGTAGAGTCCTTATAACAAAGCACATCACAAATAAAAGGAAAACATATAAACCAACAAAACAATCTATGGTGGCTCTAGACTACCCATGCATGAATATAAATATTCCCAGATCTATGCACATGGACAAGAAAAAGAATAACCACAAAAATTATAAAATATTGATTGAGAAAAATAGAAGGCACATGAATAAGAAAAAGAAAAATCACATATCTATGCACTTTGAAAACACTATTTTCTCACATAGCTAAATAAAATTTGTAGCTTGAGCCATAACTAAAACATGTAACTTTAAAGAAAACCAACACTCATTTACAAAGCCTCATGGATCTGAACTTCATACCCAAAGATGCCAAAAGAACACAATATATGCACACATAAAGAACATTTATGTAAAAGTATTAGCAAAACTGAAAATCAAGTGAAAATAAGAAAAGGTAGCAAGATCTGCCTAGAAGCCTCGAATTAGCTCTATTGTTTGTTGGGGTAGTTAGAACTGTGGCAGCATTTGTGGGCCATCAAAACCACAATATAGCTGCAATTTGCAAATGACTATTGCCACACCTATATCTAGATTTTAATAACTCTCTTCTAATAATGTACCAGTCTCAACTCAACCTAACTTTGACCCATAAATATGATGCAACCAACTGTTAATATGTTATAAACTCATTATTTGGTTATGGGACCAAAAAGTCACACCCACAACCAAAAACATAACAGAAAAAAAAAATTCCAAATATACATGGATACACGTACATCACATTCTGATCTGGTATAGGCAGTAAATACTAATCCAAAGCACCAAACAGCTAACCTAGAATTTAATATTGCATCATCTATACACGATTATGAACATGAATCAAACTTTAGCAACAAAGTTTACCTTGCAAAAGAAATGGTGGCAACACTAGTTTGGCCCTGCTGAATGTGCAAAAGATGCTAGGGTTTCAGTTTGAATTTCGATTGAATGTTTACCGCAAAAATTATAACTTGAACTCAAAGTCTGCAAACCTAAGGATGCACAGAGAGATCATAAATGATCCAAAATCATAGATAGAATATGAGAAAGCTAGATAAGTATTTATAGGTAGATTAAGAGACCGAGAGATAGAGAGAAGCAAACTGAGAGAGATTGAAGCAACCAAATACAAATATTCAAAATCACATTTTCCATTTTTTTTCCTTCGATTTCCAAGCAAGCAAACAAATTAATAGAGAGATTGACGCAACCAAATATCAAAAAAGAGCCAACACATCCAGAAATTAATCCAACATATTATCACAAACTTACACTCAATCACATATAATACGTACCAAATCACTCCAAAATTTATACACACAGGTATTTTTCTCATTTTTGTCTTATTTTATTTCAACACTAGGACATTTTATCTTTTAATTTCAAATTTACCAGTTCTTGCCTCAACAAATTCAAACTTGTTGATAATCAATGAAACAGCAAATTCGAAACAAATCTAGGAATCAAAACTTTTCATTCAATCGAAATGAGTACCAATCCACAGATGCTATATATTGAACTCACAAAACAACAAAATTCACCAAATGTAGCAATAATTGAAGACTGAATGGTGACAATAGGTACTAGTTGATTTCACAAACAAGAAGAACAATATACATACAGAGCAATTCAATTTTCCAATTCAGAGTAGGTTCAAATAAACATTCGATGTAATAGAGTAACTGAATTCAAATCAACAATAAAATCTAAAAACTATTAAAATCCATGAAAAAAAAGCCCTAGCCGCAAAAATGGAGAGAAGATGAGATTACAGAAAGAGAGTGAGAGAGAACTCTATACCTGTTCATTGCCCTTGGTCGTTGCTCCATTTCTGAAATCCAAGCTCTAATCGAACATAACAATAGCATTAGATTAGATTAAATCAGATCATCTAACGAACTAGGGCAGAGCAATTGCATCAGACTATCCAGATCACGAAGACCTAAAACCGATTCAGATCAAAAGAGATCCAAATCATATGGCCTCAATCTCTTTCTCTCTCTTGGATTTTCCTCTGTGCTTCGTAAAATAACAAGTGAATGGAGAGAAGAGCGAGCGAGAGAAATCACGATCTCTTGGATTCTCCAAATCACGATCGAGCGAAATCAGATTTGGTAAATGAGTGTGTAGGGCAAATTTTACACAATCGGGGGTTTAAGTAAAAAGAAAAATAAATAAAAGAAAATAGGAAAAATAAATTGCGCACATGAATGACAAGTAAAAAGCGATTTTTTTTTTTTTTTTTTTTTTTAATTTACTTTGGGTGCGTTTCTACTACCAACCAAAGCCAACCCACACTTTTTTTTTTTTTGCGGTGGTTAAACAATCAGTCACAAAAAAAGAAACGAGAAAAATTAGGGGTTCGTTTGGTTTGTACTTCTGAAAAATTTTTAGGAAATTTTCTTTACAAATAAATTTTTAAAAGTAATCAAATCAAATAAATTTTTCCAAAAAATTTTTTCAAAACTTGTAAACCAAACAAGTTTTCCAAATAAATCTCTCTCTCACATACATCAAATCAATCACTTTTTCCAAAACTTTCTCTCAAAATAATTTTTCAAAACATCTTTTGAAAAAAATCAAACCAAACAACTTTTCGTATTTTTTATCTCTAGTAGTGCTAGTTAAGAGTTTGCTGTGATATATTTATATAATTGTTGTCATATATATCTAAATGAACTTGAATGAGCCAAAATTTTTCCTTTTCTATTTTTAGAAGTGTGTTTTTGGGCTTAGAAAAGGGCTCCTTTTTGTTGATCTAGCTGAAATACTACTCGATGGGCTTATTCGAGTGAGTCGGTGACAAAATAACTAGGTGTAAACCTATTATTATCCCTTTGGTCTATTCCTATTTGGACCTCCGCTTATTAATAATTTTTTTATTAAAATTTTATCCTAATGTAATCACCCTTGTTATTAATTCCAAACCCTAACCCATCTCCTATGGAACCCTATCCACATGCTCTAGGCCCTACCTTTTTCTTATGACTCCAGAGTGAGTGATAAATAGAGTCATGCAAGAGAGAGAAAAAAAGAAAGAAACAAAAAAGGAGGTTGCGATGTTAGGGAGGATGGAGAGGAGTTGGGAGCTAGCAAAGGTGGATAGCAAGGGTAGAGAGGGGTTTTTAGAGGTGGTGGTAATGGAGATTGAAAGTGGCTAGAATTAAGATTTCAAAACCTTAGGAATGATGATAAAATTGGAATTAAGGTGGAATGCCCCTCTTAACAATTTTTCTTTTTTACCTTTTAGGTCCAAACCTTAACCTTTCAAAACCATGCAAACACTCTGATAATGTAATTAAATTTCTCAATTACCAATGCCAAGTAATTTTCACTTAAATATTTTCAATTTTAGGTGGGTTTAGGTTTATATAGTGGAATATTTCTAAATTCAATATCTGAATTAGAACTCAATTTTTTGTATTCTTTCACACTGGCCGCATATAGGGCATGTTTGATTGGGATATTAAAAAGTAGTTCGAGTATGGAGAGAACATGTAAGTCCACCACGGTGTTTAATTGTGGGATAAGAAGGAAGAGATTAGAGATGGGTGTATTTGTTTTGCATAGTACTAAACTCTAGATAATTTTAGTATTAATACAATATTAGAAGAATGAAGCCACTCAAGTGTTTGTAATATACCTAATGAATTCTCAAGATAATTATAAGGTTAGCCTGTTAGGCATGCAAGAGAATTTCATAAAATAAAAAAATAAAACTATTTACAATCTCATCCAATCCAAAGCTTTACTACAAGCAAACAACATATTATCTGCCTCAAACAAAACACTAATATTTTAATATTTTAAAAATTGCAAAGCATTTCACAAGATATGAAATAACATGATTGTAAACATCTCAAGCGACAGTGAACAACAAAGGAAGTGAAGTGGCAGCGAAAGAGGAGAAGGCGTGTCGGGCATTAGAAGGCGGTGACACAGGCAACCCAACAGCAGTAGAGATTGGTTGGGGTGGGTGAGGATGAGATTGGGATTATTTGGTGTGTTCAAAGTGAATAAAAAATTTCAAATTTTCACTTAGGAATAGGGTGCCCAACCAACAATTTGAAGTGCATTTAGAGCCTCATCAAGCAAGAAATGGTTATGACCTTGCTGTTGGATCATGGGTTGGCCCTTATGCCATGTGTCGCACTTGGGAATCTCTAGTCCGCTTTAAGAGAGACGAGAGTGAACTTGAAGACCAATCTTTTCCCATGGCTATTTATGTTGTTTCTGTTGATGAAGATGGGGAGAGAGGTGGAGCTCCAGTTGTCTGCATCGAGTATGCTTCTAGACATTGTTTTGAGTTTTCAAAAGGCTAGGCTAATTGGACACCTATTCTTTTGTTGGTTCCCTTGGTTCTTGGTCTTGACAAAATCAACCCCAGGTACTTGGGTACTTTTGATGCTTGTCTCCTTGTTCATCAACATTTGTTTTGTTGGCCTCATCATTTTTCACACAATTTTGACGATGTATTTTTCAAACAATTTTGATCATAGCAAGTATTCATGTACTTTAATATTTTCTACGAGGTTGCTTTTTTCTTGTTCTATGGCTATTAGGGGGCTTATTTTCCATGCATTGAGAATTGGTGGCTCCCCTAATATGTTTACCCGGATATGTTGATCTATATGATTCAGTGTCATAATTTTGTTTCAAGCAAATTGTTCTATGTGGGCTGTGCGCACTAATATAATCACTGAAAAACTAAAAAAGCTGAAGTTACTGCCTTATGTGTCTTATTCCTTCCTTACCTTATTTGGTTTAATGTTGTCTTGTATGTTAATCAGAATTATTTTGTTTTAAAAATTCTGTTGGGTATATTTCTTTATTGAGCTCGACATTCACATTTCCCCACAGCCTTGGTATCCTTGGTGGTTGACTAGGTGCTTCAATTCATTGTCGACGTGCAAGATGAAGATGCTTTCTATCCTAATCCACATGAAGTTCAGCCGAGTACAGTGCAATATTACTTTTCCACATTGACTCATTTACGTAGTAATAAATTTGTGCATACCTAGGCAGGCAATCTGGGGTTTGGGGATACTATTGCGCGGGTGTGCAACATCTGTTGTGCGCCAAAAACGGCGTCATTTTGACGCACCAACCCAATTTGAAAAATTATTATCGCATTCATGAGTTTTGAGCCAGCGACCTCATAAAGAGAGACACACACCATCTTCCCTTGTCAATATTGTGTACATATATATTATTTATTACCTTATAATTTTTACACGTGTAAAAAGTCTATTTCGTTTTGAAAACTTTTTTTAAAAAAAATCTTAAAAATCAAAATTACACCTTTTAAGATCTTATTATTTATTTTCCTCTGATTTCATCTTATTATCTCAAACAAACTCTCAACTATCAGTGTCTCAAAAATCCTAAAAAAGTTTGTTTTCGTCGGCCAACCGTCCATCTACCTTTGCGGAAGATTTTTATTACCTTCGTCGGAAACTCCCCATCGCCTGCACTATGCTGTCTAGGTTAAGTATGAATACAACATATTTTCTCTTGAATGTTGGTAGCCCTCAAGAAAAAATATATAATTTTTTTCACTTTTGTGATTGTGGTTATTTGATTTTTTTTTCTCTGTAGAATATTACAAGTTAGTTGATTTTTTTTTCTCTACAATATATTTATTTTTTTTTTGACATCAACAAAGTGAACAATAAAATATATGAATAAATTAATGTAAAATATTCTAAAATTAATGAATGACTAGATTTAAGATTTTTTATTGTTTAACTTTTACTTCATATTTTCATAAATAAGAACAATAATGTTACATCTATTATAGTGTTATTCTACTTCAAAATTAGAGAAAATAATTGTAAAAATTTAAATAGCAAAACTTTGGCATCTTATTAGATAAGTAGAATAAAAAATAATAAAAATTATAAAGAGTAATATGAACTCTCAAATTTATTTTATTATTTTTTTACAGTGGCATCTATATAAATTTTATTGTTTGTTCTTGAAGTAGTCATTTTTTGTTATTTTGCTTATTGTTTGGATGAATAGGTGCAAAAAAATAAAATTAAATGGAATTGAGTGGCGTCATCAATTAATAAAAAATTTAAATCTAATTAAGTGGACATTATTTCTTCTCTCATTATGAAATTAAGAACTACATAATAAAGTGAGATGATGACATCCACCTAATTAAATTTATATACATATAGTTTTTTGGTTGATGACACCACTTGGGTACATACACATACATATTGATTGTTTGACTAAGGTAATAAATAATATATATGTACATAATATTGATAAGGGTTTTTGTAGCAGAGTGGTTTGTCAGTGTGGACATCTTCATGAGGTCCCTGGCTCAGAACTCATGAATGGGATAATAAAATGGGATAATAATTTTTCAAATTGGGTTGGCATGTCAAAATGGCACCGTTTTAGGCGCGCAATAGATACTGCTGCGCGAGAGCAGATACTACTGCCCACCTCACGCAACAGTATCCTCAACTCCGGCAATCTGCTTGTTGTCAATTTGAATACAGTCTACATGCTTCAGCTTTTCTTTTCTTTTTTGCGAACATCCTACAAGCTTTATTTGTAATAAATATATAATTTCATATGTAAAAAGGGTGTAAAAATGGCCCGTGGCCCGTGGGTGGCCTGAAGCTCACCCGCGGGTCGAGGTGGGCCCAACCAGGTTAGGCTCGGGCCTGAGCCCAGCCTGGAAGCCTAGGCTTAGGCCTAAGCTATCATTTTGAAACCAAGCCAAGCCCATCGGCCCGCTCAAAGCCCGGCCGCCTGAGGCCCAGTTTCATTTTTAGTGGAAGACAATAAAATTTAGGTGGAAAAAATACCAAAAAAAAAAAAATCCGCCCAAGCCCAAGCTCAAGCTTGCTATCTTTCTCTTTTTTTTTTCTTTTTTTTTTGATACAGCGGAAAGAAAGGAAAAAAAAAAACAAAAAACAACAACAACAATAGGCTACTCCCTCACCCTTCCAACACCTAACATATTAGCAACCAACAGGTTGTGGATCGCAGCCGAGGGTTCATTAACTATTAATAAATCTTCAAGTCGATCCGCCCCGAGCTTCGCCAACGCATCGGCACAAGTGTTCCCTTCTCGCATGACATGAATGATTTTGCACTCTCATCCTCTCAGAATGATTCGAGCATCCTCCACTAGACCTCGGAATAGGAAATTG